AACAATTCATGCACAGATACACACTGGGGAGAAGCCATATAGTTGTTTATTATGTGGCAAAGAATTTTCTAGTAAAAAATGTCAAACAATTCATGCACAGATACACACTGGGGAGAAGCCATATAGTTGTGTATTATGTGGCAAAGGATTTGTTAGTAAAAATGGTAAAAAAACTCATGAGAAGATACATACTGGCAAGAAGCCGTACAGTTGTGTAGTATGTGGTAAAAAATTTGTTACTAAAAGTAAGTTAAAAATTCATGAGCAGATACACACTGGGGAGAAGCCATATAGTTGTGTATTATGTGGCAAAGGATTTGTTAGTAAAAATGGTAAAAAAACTCATGAGAAGATACATACTGGTGAGAAGCTATACAGTTGTGTAACATGTTGTAAACAATTTGTAACTAAAAGTATCTTAAAGACTCATGAGCAGATACACACTGGAGAGAAACCATACAGTTGTGTTGTATGTGGGAAAGGATTTTTCAGTAAAAGTAGTCTAAACAATCATGAGAAGATACATACTGGGAAAAAACCACACAGCTGTGTAGTATGTTGTAAACAGTTTGTATGTAAAAGTAGCTTGAAGACTCATGAGATGATACACAGTGAGGAGAAGCCATACAGTTGTGTTGTATGTGGTAAACAATTTGTAAATAAAAGTAACTTAAAGACTCATGAGATGATACACAGTGACAAGAAGCCTTACAGTTGTGTTGTATGTGGGAAAGGATTTTTTCGTAAAAGTGGTCTAAATGATCATGAAAAGATACACACTGGTGAGAAGCCATATGGTTGTGGAGTTTGTGGTAAACGATTTGTAAGTAAAAGTAGCTTAAATACTCATGAGATGATACACAGTGACAAGAAACGTCACAGTTGTGTCATATGTGGTAAACAATTTGTAACTAAAAGTCAAATAAAGCGTCATGAGCGGCTACACACTGGAGAGAAGCCTTACAGTTGTTTATTATGTGGCAAAGAATTTTTAACTAAAAATGGTCAAATGATTCATGAGAAGATACATACTGGTGAGAAACCATACAGTTGTGTAATATGCTGTAAAAAATTTGTAACTAAAAGTAACTTAAAGACTCATGAGCAGATACACACTGGGGAGAAACCATACAGATGTGTTGTATGTGGTAAACAACTACGAACAAAAAGTAAACTTGAACTGCATGAGAAGTTGCACACTGGGGAAAATCCATAGAGTTATTTAATGTGTAACAAAGGATTTTTATGTTACAATGGCCTAAAAATTTATGAAAATATACGCATTGGTGAGAAGCTGTGCGGTTGTGTAGTATGTGGTAAACGAATTGTAAGCAAAAGTAGCTTAACTCTTTCAGCATGGGCCTGGTCCCTGGGATTGACCTCGTAACTATTTTGTGTTGTAACTTTTAAATTAGTAAGCGAATGTTAACAAAATTTGGCAGATTATCAGTAAACATTACAATGCTTTCATACACAAAATATCTAATTTTGTTATTAAGTCTTAAGGTTTGTAAAGCATTGTTTTTCTAATGCCTTTTTTTTCTTTTCACGTTGCCTATCTATCATGCAAAGTAATTTTCATTTTAAGATTAAAAATGCTTTAAAGCATCAGAAAATTTTTAAATTTTACAAGCAAAATATTTATAATGTCGAGATAGTTTTTATATTTTATCAGTTATTTTCAGTAATTAATCTCTGTACAGGTTCGGTAGATTTGACCGATCTCACAACTACCATAAAACGTTAGGAAATAAATATAAATTATGCTTCTTCCATTCTAGAATGAGCACAAATTATAACAAGAAAACACAAATGTTTAGACTAAATAGATTAAACCTCATAACATTATATATTTATATATATTTATTATTTTTATTATATTGACCTTTCACCTGTGCCTAACTAATAATACAGAAGCTACAATGATGCGGCTTACATGCACTCATGTTACTGTATCAATAACATAAAATTGACCTTTGGTC